TTATATTCCGGCGACACCGAATTTATATATGTATATTATTAATTTTGAACCGGCGCGTCAATATCGACCGCTCTAGGTGCGTAATTACATTCGTCCAATATCTTTGTCATTTAGGACGTTTGTATATGCACGTCATTTGTCGCAGAATACTTTCAATACAGACTCAATTACCGTTGACATGACATAGGACTCGGCGTGTAATGCACTTTTCGGCCGCTTTTCAGCTTGTTTTTCCCTTACCTCACCCTCACGCAGTATGAATCCTACATTTTCGATCGTTGATTCCATCGGCGTCTTATCAGGCGACGACAATTCATTAAATCGCCAGTAGCTAAACTGCGTAAGCTGTTTGCGACCATTTCTTTCAAATATCGTAAACAAGTATGAATATGCAGCGCTGATTCAGAGGTTGCACATGATATACGTCGATGTTTGCGTAATATTTCGATGGTCGCGATGACTCAAACTGCCTGCGGGCGAGCAGACACCCCATCTGCACCCACCGCTGCTACGCCGCGTCCGAGCATCGATTATTACTCTCTCATCTTCTCATCCATACGCTGTAAAGCGTAAATTTACTTTGGACACTGAATCCATATCATTGTTATCCGAACTCACACCGATCAAACGCCCATCGTCGCCTAATAAAACCCGAATCTACGAATGTGAAAATTAATCGAGAGCAAATATAACGTTTTCATTTGCACAACTGCAGGTGCGCGATGAACGCTCTTCAAAACTGTTATACGTAAATCGACATAAAAATGTATGTTTAATAAAAATGTTGAAATGCGCGAGTTAAACCGGGAAATTCTAAATACTGTTGTGCACTGTTTGTTAAAAATGTAAAGTACACATATATTTTATCATATGTACATTTTATTTAAAATATCTCATTTCATATTCAGTTCAGTACACAACGGTTTTAACGTTATGTGTACTGAGTACACATGTACTGCCAACGAAATACACCGAGGAAAATATTGCGTGGAAAAATATATTGCCAGTTCGAAAGCAGCGGGCACATCAAAGAAAGATCTTCGTTCTTTTGTTAATACTCACTCGCAAAATATGCAAGATATACCTACGTATACCTGCCGTAGAATCCGAATAACATCATACGTGTGAGAAAAAAAATGAGAAAAAATTTCTCGCGGCGTGCCATATGGCGGATAATTTTGTAGATTGATGGAAAATTTCACGGAGCAACTGACACCCGGGGGATACGGGTTCTTATACAATCAAACGCCGCTCTATGTAACGTCGTTCTCATATAGAATTGACAAGCAGTTAGTTTTATGGGCAAATTAACTAAGACGCCAATTAAGAATTTAATACTTCTATAATACGAAAGATGCTGACCCTTGACGACGATGCCTGCGTTAATGCGTCTCTCGCAAAATCAATCTAAACAGAATAACAAGTCATTATAATATTAAAATTATGTCAAAATGACTCCAAAATATCATTTACCATTTTAATATGATTTTAACGTCATTTTAATGTTACCATGACTTGTTCTGCTTGGGAATGTACCATTGAATTCGAGTTTAATTATCCGCTTGATATCAAACAACGGATCGCACTGAAAGACAAAGCAATTAATTTTACGTTATTGTCATTTTACTGTGAAGTTATATTTCTTTAATAGTTAAAAGAAGGGCTACGAGCCAGTTATAACATAAAGAATATTTAATAACCTTTCATACATACATACAAACGTTTCGACACCGATCGGGTCATTTTCAATGTAAAACAACAAACAATCTTACATAAATTATCGGAAAATTCAGTCAAATTATAATGTCCAGTAAAAAGTTCGGTTGTATTCGTAATATGCGGTCCATATATAAAAATATCAAAGGAGATCTCATCTCACTTTTCACAACTCTACGTTAACGTCGCCTGACATCGTCGAGTATAAATGTTATATCCAATTGTATTATGGCTTACTTTTTATTAAATATAACTTTGTTAATTGCGTTTTCCTCTCGGCGTCTAACTTAAGACAGCATTAAGACAATTTAAGATTGTAGACAACAGCAGCCAATTTTTGGTTGCGTTAACCTATCCGCAATGTCAGTATAGGATTTCGATAAGTTGACACAATCAAAAATTGGCTGCTGCAACCAATTAAAAATGCTATGTCATATTTTACCATCTAATTTGCTGCAGCAGCTAATCTTTTTTTTTTCAGTGCAGCAATTAACGCTGGCGCTTTTTGTATACCTAAGTTTTCTATTATAACTTGTAATATTGCTGTACGATAAACCAAATTGAGATTAAATTATTATTAAAAAGATGTGAAGGAAGAAATCTTAAAATTGAAAATGAAACTTTTAGAACTAAACGAAATGAAAATCGATCGAAAAATAAGCAAAGGAGTATAACAGTTATTAACTGGGAATATAGGCCTATCTGCTATATCCGATCTGTTTTGATTCATTGTTGAAAGGAGGGTGTAGTTTTTTTTTTCGTGGCACGTGGCATTGGTAATGCCACGTGTAGCAACAACGACACAACAGAAAGCTTTCGGTTCTGTATATTAATTAATATTTCACGTTTGCGTAAATTTTCAACAGCGGGATAACCGTAATAACCGTGATGAGCAGTCTAGAATAGTCTCATCTCTTTTAAAGAAATAAGATGTGAGATAGTAATATCCTCTAAAACTTCTGTTTATGAATTTGTTAATAAGTTATTATAGCAAACACATTTTTCGGGGGGGAAAAAAAGAGAGAGAGAGAGAGTTTTTATTAAAACTATTGAAGTTTAAATTTAGGTTAAAAATAATGAAAAAAATTGTGTATAATAGATTATAACAATGTTCAGATCAATAATTTTTATTTTATTTTTATAATTCGCAATTACTTACGATCATAAACAAGATAATCGTTCGAAATTTACAATGATTAAGATTCATATTATGGTATCATTTGGCATGGATTTCGATTGGAATTACTCAATTATTCCTTTGATCTCTATTGAATTTTCGGTAAATATTCAGAAAAGGGGAGCCACTTTTGATGACCTTGATTTTGACATATGTTGTCAAGATCGTGACCCTGAGTGACCTCCACCAAGCCGTCGGTCGTCATTCGTTAAAAAGTTATTAACAGTTAAAGTTAGTAATTTCTCTTTAGGAGGAAAAAAAGAAGAAGAAAGATGAACTGGTGCAAAAGTTTAACCAAAAAGAACAGGCCTAATGTCTTTAGAAGTTTACTTCTAGGGCGGAATCCATAGACGGTGCTCAAGATTCTAGATGGCCTTAAGCTAGTGCACGAACCAATCAAAAAGCCGTATCAGCATTTTAAGACATTTCTTGAGATTAAGACCGGATTATGGATTCCGGCCCTAATTATCCAAAGTTGTATCAAAGTTATAACAAATGAGTGAAATACTTAAATTTTTTTTAATGCTTACGATACATCTTTTCAAGTATGCAAATATGTATTTACAATTTAACATTGTATATAGTAAAAGGTTATTATATGCAATAAATGCAACTATAAAATATTTATTTTCTCATTTTTATTTCTTAAAAAAACTTATTTTTTTAAATTGATATTTTACATTTTATATCTTAGGCTGCATTCCGATAGTTACTATCAGTGTATTGAAAATTTATTTACTATTAAATTATTTACTAAATTTACATTATATACTATGGATTTTCACAGTACTGAAGTGAATCTTGAAATACATTCCAGGCTAATATTACATTTGTCGTATGACCAAGCATTTCAAGTTTATTGATTGATTACAAGAAAGAAAAGTTGTCGGATCTCTTTATTCAATCAATGAACTTAAAATCCTTGTTGTACGACAAATTCAGGGCTGGATAATTATTTAAAATGCCAAATATAAAATACTTAAAAAAATGTATTTAAAATGCAAAATGTTTTTCGAATCCACTTTATATGTAAAATGGATAAGTAGATATTGTAAATAGTTTTTAAATACAGAATGGTTTTTCCTACATACATTTTAATATATATATTTTTTAAGTATTTTACATTTAGTATTTTAAATAGAATTACATATTAAATGGCATTTTAAATGCAAAAATACCCTGCAGCTCTGAACAAATACAATATCAACCTTAAGACCTCAGCATAGACTTTTATATGACGCATAGCGCATAGTGCATAGTGCATAAGGGAATCAACCAGAAAGTTCCTCTTTTTCCCGTGAAATAGAAGGAAAGAAAGGATGCTGATTAATTCTCTTATGCACTATATGCGTTATATAAAAGTCTGTGCTACGGCTTTTAATAATAACGCCAGTGTTTAAAAACAATGTTTAATTTAAATTAAAAAATTAAAGTTGTTGAGTTTAGCTCCCTCATGTGCAATGTTAATAAAATTAGACTCATTCGACGTGTTTTTGCACAAAACGATCGAATCAGGCAGAAACAATTGCCGCTGTGCCCTATAAAACGAGATATTAATCATTTAATTCGACGACTATTTAGGTTAGGAAACCTGTTATACTGGTGAAAAGCAGTGACTCGAACATAATGTACTGTTCGACAGAATTAGGCATGAAGTTCGTTCAAATATCCTAAGATATGAAATTAGCTGAATTTGTTTTAAAAAAGGAGTTAATTTTAATGAACGAATTATACAATTTTTTTAAAAGTGATTAGTAAATAATTATATCTGGCAACATCAATAAATTTCCCAAAATGATATCTTCTGTTTTATCTCATTAAAAACACAAATTTTCTTATATAATTTAAATTATAGCAAATAATAGTTTGTGATTCAGAGAATGTATGTCTAATACATATTCTCTCTGCTTTGATTAATTAAAAATAAAAATTTTCTTATCTTAAGTTATAAAGAATGTGACTACAGCACATGCTCAGTATGAAAGGTTTCTTAACCTGAATAATCGTCAAATTTAAAAATTATAATCTCGTTTCGCGGGACAGAGTAACAATTATTTTTGTCAGATTCGGTCGTTTTGTGTAAAAATACATCAAATGATCTAATTTTATTAATATCAAATGTGAGAGGGCTAAACTCAACAATTTCGGCAGTAACGAAAAAGTAACGATCAATCATTACTTTTTAATAAATAACTAGTAACGGTAACACGTTACTTTTTAAAATAATTTTAAAATAATTTTTAAAATAAGTAACTAGTAATGGTAACGAATTATTTTTAACAAAAAGCAGCTATAATGGTAAGGCGTTATTTTTTTCAGGTAACGTTCTCAGCTCTGCTTAATTATATAAGTGTTTCGTGATACATAAACACATATGTATATACATACGTATATACATACATTATACATCTGTTCGTAACACGTCTATTAAATCACAATGGCTATATTAAAAATGCTGAAGCGTACCCTGTGCAGAAACATTGCAACAAGCGGATCGAGATTCGTGGGCGTCATAGGACCCTTAACAATTCCACCACTGCAGATTGCAATTTTATATTACTTCTGGCAGGATTATTCGAGGGTTGTGGATAAGCGATACTGCTCTTGTTCGTGCTGGGACACTGTCTTTAAAGGTAACACCAAAATTGTAGAAATATACTGTCATGTCTGTTTCCATCAAAGTAGATTAATTTTAATCTCAATTCAATTTACTCTCTATCCTTTTTTAATCGTCAGGGCTAATTAAAACTAATTAGAACCTTTTTGGATTTTTTTAATTTTCAGAAAAAGATGAAGGGTAAGTTGAATCAAGATTAAGATTTTCTCCCACACAATATATTTTATATTTTATCGAAGATACATCCTTAGGATGTTCAGAGAACATAAGAATACCTTCTGGATGTCTTTAAAATGTTCTTTGAAGATCTGTGTTGTATGGGCTAGTTCTAATTCTTAGAAAAAGATAAATTAAACCAATTAAAATTAATCTATATTGATCGAAATGGACATGAATGCTACTAAATAGCAAATCGCAGGTCCAACTATATAATCTAAAATTTTTTTACAGGCTCGTACGAATCCGGCATAGCTCCTTACAAACACATGTACTTTAATGCTACTTCGAACATGTTGAAAATATGGATACTCATCGTCATCGGAGTAATCGTGTTTTACGAAACAATGAAATATTTGACAAAACTAGCCATCAAACAGAGACTAAGACAATCTATGATGCTCCTCTTCTCAACCGCTCTGTTCTCCAATTACTACTCATGGTGGGTCTATATTAATTACTGGAATGACGACTTCTACTCTCAGTGGTACCACCAGTTGTTTTTTACAATTACTGAATTAATATCTACGGCTTGGGTTGTCTCCCTTGCGGATAAGAAAAATCCAATCACACACAGAAAGGCTTTCGGCATTGCTGCAATAGCCTTTTTACATATCGTGGCTGGTGGGTGGGACCAGTTCTTTGAAAATGTCGTTAGAGGAGAGGGTCACGCACACCAGGTAAGAATCCACAAATAATAATGAAATAAATTCGGTTGCTCACATTACATTGGATTAGTGCACATTAAAGTTGCTTTATATAAAGTGTCTAAAAACAGTGGTATAATATAACTTTTACAATGAAATAATACACACACACACACACACACACACACACACACACATTCTGTTATATATATATATATATATATATATACTCTAGACTTATATTGATGCATAAATTTTACGTACTTATTGAGTGCTAAGCTATGTTCTTTCAATGATTACAACTTCAGTCTGTCATACTAAAAGCAAGGACAAGTTATTAAAACTTCTATTACTTATATGCATTAATTAAGAGTGGCCTATTTTCTTGTACGTAAAATTTACGTGTCAGTAACAATATTATATCATTGAACTTCGATTGACAATATTGACAATATTAATAGTTTAAAATATTTATTACAGGTCATACGCGATTTGGGCTTTATGATACCGGATATTCTTCAAGTCATCGTTCCATTATGGCTGATTAAACGGGAAAGTATTTACAATATCCATCTTCCTAACTCATTAGCGTATATGTCAAGTATCGTGGTGATCGGATTGTGCATTTGGTCGTTTCTGTTGTAACGATATCATCAAGGATAGCATAATAATACGCAATGGACGGCAACAAAGTGATTGAAAAATCAACAATATTGTCGTGCCTCTGGAGCTCCACTAGTTTTGATCCTCTCGGTATGAGTACAGCTGACCTAAGAAAAATCAATACGGGTTGATAGACTGAGTTTCGCTCGAGCTGCCATTACGTTTCCGCTGAGGCTCTATATTTTCCAGTACAATAAAGTTATGATGGAATCACACAATGCTCAATTACTTGAATGATAAGCATGCATGCATACTTATCATTCAAGAAATTGAGCATGCATCGTGTAATTCCATCTTTACCGTTGTCTTTTCTACAGGAGCAGTAATTTTTCACGGGAGCGCGTGAACGGTTTTCGCGTTGGCAAAGTGCTTGCAAGGGTAAATATTGAGATGGAGGAAGTCAGCGGCGCTGCTTCGGGGTGTACGACTTTCCATGCGAAGCAACTTCCACCCCATCACCCAGATTTTAGCTGTTGCTCGTTATTCAGATATCTTTAAACGTGCGATCATGCGTGCTTTCCATGGAAAGTTGCACGCACCTTGTCAGAGGAGCAGGTGGGGTGAAAGTCACTTCGCGTGGAAAGTTATATTCCTTGAATTCATCCACCTCATACCTCTCTGCTCGTTTAAAATTATCTGACTCTTCATGTAAAGCAGGGAAATAATTACTAGCTTTAATTGTTAATAATTTTTTAACAAATAACGAGCGATGGCTGAAACCTGGGAGATGGGGTGGAAGTCGCTTCGTATGGAAAGTCGTACGCTTCGAAGCAGGGGGGAGATGGAATGAAAGTCGCTTGGCGTAGAAAGTCGTGCGCCCTTACACGGAAAAAATTGCGCAACGATGATCACTGTTCGGACAGCGCGTGCATAATAACTGTTACTGTGAGATGAAAATTTTTTCTCGGCACAGTAATCATCGCTGTATAGTTTTCTTCATGTATGCTATTGTATAAAAACAAAAATTATATAAGAAAATAAGGTTTTCAAAGAAAATTTTTGTATTTAAAGTAGGAAATTTATTTTAAAGCAGAGAATTTTTGTTCTATCCTCCATCTCAATATTTACCCTCGCAAGTTCCGGTACGAGAAAATTTCACAAGAACGGTTATATATTTTCACTCATCTTCTTATCATCTTGAATAAGACAGTATTTAAAAATTTCTAGTTCAGTTAATAGTACAATTTGTATAGTGCAATATATATTAACAAAATCTTGACTTAAATACTTTTTTAAAATTATATATATGTAGTATTTTTCGATTACTAACAAGAAAAAGGAATAAAAATCATTTTTTTCTATGAAGTCATTAGTCCAGAATCCGGATTGCGGTGCTGTTTATTCCCATTTCAAACGCCACGCGCCGCGAGAAACAGTGCCGGCGCGACGGCGTAGACGGCACTGCGTCTCGCGGCGCGTGGCGCTTAAAGTGGGAATAAACAGCACCGCGATCCAGGTTTTGAATATCTGGAGGCACGGTAGTGTCTCGGCGCTAAGCCAAGCGCATCATTATATATTCCGAAATTATTTTCGCGCTGAACATAATCAGTTATTATGATATTGCGTGTAGCACATCAGAATTTTTATTAAATAAAAGTAGAACTGGGGTCACTCCAGTCTATTGTTACATTCCAATAAAAATCCTGTTACATTATAATAAAAATTCAGTTGCATTCCAATAAGAATCCTGTTACATTCCAATATACGAGACAAATTTTGTCAATGGCCTCTGCAATGGCGTATTCTGCAATAGAAAAAATTTCAGGGAATATACAGGGAATGTACTTTGAAGAGAAAGAAATGACTTTTTGTAAAACATATGTTAGTTAATAACAATATAGAATTGTTCACGCTTTCTAATTAATTCAGTCATTGAGATATTTATCTTATTACAAATTTATTATGACTGCAGCTTATTTGAAAAAGGGAGATAGAGATTTCGTCACATAAAAAGACAAATGTATTACGATGTGTAGAGTAAATCGAACGTAAAACGATCGAACATAAATTTTTAATTCCTATAATATTTTGTTATCAAACGGAACAAAAAATAAATATATATAATAATTATGACTAGTCTGACGATTTCAGTTAAAGAAGATATTTCGATCTGATTAATAACGTGAATAAAATAAAGCGGCCTAATTTTTCTGATAATTGTTTAATTATTTCCAGCATTCCGATTACATCTTCCACACACACACACATCACACATAGGGAAATGTAAAAAATCAATTTTTTAACATTGCAATAATTGAAAAAGTAATTATTTTAAAGGTATCACAAATTAAAAATTAATAATTAATATCCCTTTTCCGTTCATGTAACTTACAAACAATTAAATATAGAAACAAATTAAAACGAGTCATAAATTAAAACGAGTTATATTCAGATGTACATAATATGGTAATATTTATTCCATTCATATAAATTTCACGAAAAATATACATGCATATGTATGTTTCATATATTTCACCCTCACAATTACTTACTATATTATATAAACAGAAAATTATTTTTAATTGCACACAACCGTTGAATTAATTTTGTCTCACACAAAATCCTATTTTCATGCACTGGAAATATAAATAATATCATAATACATATGACGATTTTCAAATAGAGCGCTAAAATGTCGCCAGACAATATGGCGGCCCCCTCCTCCCCTAAAATCTTCACCCCCCCGTGCTTGAAGGCTCCGACCAGATATTCATACGTCCATGGTTTGAAGCGCCATGTGGACCGCAGCCATATGCTGGATTCACACTACATCCGATTTTCG